GCAAACATCATCACCAAGCAACCATCATCGTCACCACACATGCTATCCAAAACCCTTACCAATAAAGTTGTTCCAAAGACCCAAAAAGGCCGAACTCCGAAAAAAACGACGCAAAACCACCCGGGAATGTGAACCCGCAGGGTAAAATCTAAAACCCTATAAGGCGCAAATCCCGGCGAGGCAGCGGGAGAAAGCTACAAATCTCCGAAACCTCAAACCCAAACCCCCACAATTGACAAGAAAAGGCTCGTCCTATGACAGGCCGCCGACTACCAGGAGGAGACAAAGAGCCGCGGCCTCGAGCTCGAGGCGCTCGCCGCAGCGAAGGCCGCGCTGCCACTGGGCCGGGAAGTTTCGATATTCTGGTTTAGGGTTTAGGGTTTAGGGAAAAAATCGTGCTCTTGGGCTGTAAGCTGTAAGGTGCAGGAATTGGGGGTTGTGCGGCTTTTGGGTTCATGGGGCACATGTTTTAGGATTTTGGCTTGAATCATTTTGGAGCAGCTTTGGGGCTATAGCTTAGGCTTCGGGATCCCTAGAATCCTAAAGTCTAAACCCTAAACTCTGAACCCTAAACCCTAAAGCCCTAGTCTAAATGTTTTGCCTCATGGACCATAGGGTTCTGGGATGGGATTGTTTGGGTTGGAAGCCACGGATACGCACAACAGGTTTCCGACTCAAGGCGCCTTAAAAGACGACGTGACCCCTAAAAGCAGGGGCCCTATACCCTTATACTGTGAATCTCTATATTATAGTCTGTATGGTATATGAACCTCAAACCCTTTTAGGGTTGATTTCGTCCTTCAGGCGAGGGGTGTTTTAACCTCACGCCCCCGGGCTTCCGATACGCTTACGGATGGAACCGAGATTTCAGGGTCCAAGTTTTGAGTCTTACGGATTAGGGGTTTAGAGTGATTTGGCGATTTTCTTCTGCCCATCGGGGCCTTAAAAATCAGAATAGGGTTTGGGGGTATATTATAGTCTGAATATAGTAAGCTGCACCTCAGTTGTAGTTTCGGGCTTGGGGCTGAGGCCTCATCCGCCCAAACCAGAGCTGTAAAAGCGTAAACTGGGTTTCCTGAAAAATCAATGTTCAGGTACCAGCTTAGTACAAACTCTGGTTTTTTGGTTCTAAGGTGCGTAGAGTATTCCATCGCACGCCCGACGTCCCAAGCCGAAAGCTCTACCTTCACTCCTTGGCCAGCCAAGGGCGGAGTCCTCCGGACTTTCCTTTCTGCAGCTGGTGTCCAAGTCCAACATCAAGAGCAGCGAGGAGTCTTTAACTAGGTGGCAATTTGGGAAACTTTAAAACTTCCCATTTCCCTTATGGATTCTATAGAGGTACCTATTCATAAATACTTTTCAGGGCCCCCAAACTACAACCCAGTTAATGGCTTCGGGTCTCAGGAGGTCTCAGTGTTCCGGTGTTGGATGTAGGGCTCAGGTTCTGGAATCTTGGGGTTGAGAGTCGTCGCTGTAATTAGCCTCCTTGGATAAGCAGTTCAGGTTCTAGGATTGCGAGTTTTATAGCCTTTTCACTTTGAGATCGCGGGTTTAGAGTGGAGTGGAGGACCTCAAGCACTTCGAAGTGGTCCACATGCTGCGCACTCTCGGTCAGAAGTTGGGGGATCATCAGCTGGTCCTCCTCAGCCGGCGCATGGACGGGACCGAAAGCAGGGTCGATGGGTTTACGATGGATTCGGCCTTGCAGTGGAGTGTTCAAGATTGAATCTAAGTTACAGTTTCCGATGGTGATGCCGATGAGGATGCTGACGATGATGATGTGGTGGAGATTCTGCGTATGACCCAGTAGCAAGGCCGCGTAGATTCCAGGCTTTCTGGCTTCAAGGTGGAAGTCGCAACTGGGTTTAGGGTTGAGGGGTTTAGGGTTTAGGGGTTTAGGGATTAGGGATCGAAATAAGGGTCCCCTTGGGGTCTAGGGTTTAAAGTCGGCGCTGATTCGCAACTACTTGTAGGACCGCGAGGGTGCATCTTCGGCTCCTTACTTTCTCAAAATTCCATTTCTGGGCTTCCAACTTAGGCTTTAAAAGGCTTTCGAATACATGTTCAAAAGAAAAGCCGATCAGGGGTTACAAAGAGCAAGCTCACGGAATGTCATCGTGATCCCATTTGTGTGTCTCCCTTGTACATGACCCCGGAAGTTCTCCTGCTTGAGCTGGATCCTGCCCTTGGTGAAGTTGCTAATGGCGGCCTTTTGTACGACGAAATGTGGGAGTTTCCGAAAATTCAGGGTACCTTATTTTGAGGTCCTCATAATAAGGATCCTAGTCCCCTATTTTCTGACACCCCCATGTTCCGGGCTTCCATAAGCCGGGTCCCCAACCATTGCCCAGCTCTTCCCGGGGGACCTCAAGCAAAACGGCGCTAGAGTAGACCCGAACTGCAAGCCTCATGCCGTCGAGCCTTGCAGAAGAGGATGTTGCGCACCGAATCCGGGGCCGATGTCTTCTCCAAGATCAAGACTATGATCACGGACATGAGCCTTGCACTATATGGGAGTTTCCGAAAATTAGGGGTACCTTATTTTTGGGTCCTTATAATAAGGATCCTATTATTTGGGGTACTATATTAGGGTCCCCTACTTTCGGAAACCCCCATATCATGTCTATATCGCCATATGATCGGGTTACCAGCATCAAGTTGTGTACCGCACGAAACTAGACCCACCATACAAGCCCTATCCTAAACACTCTATCAGAACGCCCTTCGCCCGGCTAAACCCTACACCCTAAACCCCTAAACCCCTAAACCCTAAACCCCTAAACCCCTAAACCCCTAAACCCTAAACCCCAAAAAAACCCTAAACCCTGAACCCCAGATCCTCAAGGCCTGAACTCCTAAACTCTAAAACCCCACAAGCCCAGATGCCCTGGACCTTAAACTCCAAGCCCCCAGAACCCCAAAAGGGTCTCTAGGGTCTCTGATAGGGCTCCTTTAGGGTTTAGGGTTTAGGGTTTTTTAGGTTTTTGGGGTCCTTCCTTCCCTAAGCCTTAAACCCTACATGAAGGCGAAACTTCTGAGACCAAGGCCTTTTCCGAGATCAGGAACCCTGAAGGACCAGAAGCCCTAAACCTCTCAAACCGTTTAAGGCTCAGGGTTTAGGCTTTAGGGTTTAGGGCTTGGGTTTAGGGTTTAAGGCTCAGGGTTTCAGCTGTAATGGAGTTTAGGGTTTAGGGTTTCAGGTTGTAAAATGTGGGGCTACATCAAAGCTCTAAAACCCTAAAACCCTAAACCCGAAGCCCTAAACCCTAATCCCCAATCCCTAACCCCTAAACCCTANNCTAAACCCTAAAACCCTAAAACACCCAGGATCACCACCATGAAGGAGAACTTGCAGGCGGAGGCTACCAAGAAGGCCTACTGTGACAAGGCGAGGTTCTTGGGCTTCAGGATTTAAAGGTATTGGGCTTCAANNGGTCTACATCCTCAGCTAAACCCTAGGATTTAGAGGGGTTGCAGGAAAGAGCGAGTGTTGTGAAGGGGATGACGTCTTAGGCCGGTTTTTTGGTTGCAGCGATGCAGCTAAAGGAAACTACAGGTGGGGAGTTTAGGGTTTTTAGGGCTTCGATATAGACCTTCTATAAGGCTCCTATAAGGGTAACTACCCACCTGAAAATGTCCCAGATGCAGTTGCATTTGTGGAGCTCTGGTGTGTTATAGTGGTGGGCGTTGGCGGGAGGGTGGTGGTCGTAGTCCTGGTAGCTTTGTTTTGTTGAAGCCTGAAACCTAAACCCTAAACCCTAAACTCCCAGAATCCATCCAGGAGATGGGTGAGGCTGCAGAGAAGAAGGCCGGCAAAGAGGCAGACCTTGACGATGTGAGCACCAAGATCGATGCCACGGCCTCGAAATCCGCATCGCTGAAGCTTGGCCCGCGCTTCTCTTTGTGGGCTTCGTAGGCCCCCCACTCTAGTGCGGCACCCTGATAAACAGGGCCCTAAAAGGGACCCTAGTTTAGAGAACTACCCTTGCGTTTATGTTTGGGACCCCTCTGTTTCAGGGGTCATGAGAGCTTTTTGGCCTCAGAACCCCTGCCTAGACCTAGCCAAGTGGGAGGCAACAACAAGTCCTACCCCCGGAGCCGAATGGCCAAGCTGGAAAGCTTGAGCTCTTTGTGGAGCTTAAGGTGTCGAGTTGTGGGTTTCGGGCTTAGGTTTCAGCAGAAGGCTGGGATTCGCCCTGTAGTTTTGGGGCTGTGGGTGCAGCAGGGTGGTGTGGAAGGGCACCTCGTCACCCGAATCTAAAGATCATACCGACATCCAGATCCTGGGTCCTTATATAGGGGCCTTAATGGCTAGACTGGGGTTTGGGGGTATAGCATACCATAATTATAATAAGGAGCCCCCCCAAACCCTATTCTAGCCCCTACATTACTCCGCCGAACCATCAAGTTCCTCAGTCCATGAAATCCGCAAAGCCCCAAACCATCAAGCTTCTAAGCCGTATGCTTGAAGATCACTAACCCCTAAATCCGGAATCCCTGCAGCCGACGACAGCCCCTATGAACCATCCAGAAACCTTGTGCAAACGTTGGAAGACCCAACAAGAATTCCTGAACGCCCGCTAAACCCTGTAGCAACCCTCCAAGCAAACACTAGGAACGGCCATTCTGATACAGAGTCCCGAGCAAACAAAACTTAAGCCCTCCACTTTACGGTACTAACTACCAATATTTTTCCTTAGGGCTCCGGATTAATAGTATATTAGAATGTACCCTAAAACCTTATTCATCAATAGTATATTAGAATGTACCCTAAAACCTTAGTCTAATTATTAACGCCCCTGCATTATGGCAACCCATGAGCCGCCCCCAGGAAGAAGCAGGCGGGAGTTTCCAGCATATGAGAGTTTCAGAAAATGGGGGACCTTAGTAGGGAATGGGGGAATGGGTTATAGGGACTACTATAAGGGACCTTGAGGGAGTATCATAGGGATCCATTCCCCCATTCCCTACTAAGCACCAGACAGGATTTAGGACCCTAGATAGTAGGATCCTTATTATAAGGACCCCTGAATAGGGTCCCTAGTTTGCTGAAGCTACCATATCCAGCTGTTTTCCTTACCCGACCCCGCTCATGGGTCTTGGTTTAGATATCTTATGAGTAGGTTTGTGTTTGGGATATGGGTATTTAGGATTGTTCTAACTCTACATGTAAGCTACATACCAAGTTCATTGAGCTTTTCAAGAACCCACAAATTGGACCCTGAGAAATTATCGGCCATGGTTCGCAATGTGTTAATGCTATACTGGTGGGTCTGGTAATTGTGGCTGTTGATGCAGTGGGCTTTCGCAGTTACACGTAGTTACAATGCAAACAGGGGGGAGTTTCAGAACCCAGGGCAATGTACGTGGGTGGTTCTTATATGAAGGATTCTACTCTTTCCTTTCAGGTTGATTATTGGGACCCTAAACCCTAAGGCCCTAAATTGGCTCAGGCGTGAACTCTGTCGGCACAAACTGAGGATAATCCTGAGGAGTTCGGTCAGAGCTCCCTTGGTGCCCACAGATGGTGAAGCCAGAGGTTTCATGGCTCGTGGGCTGCCTTGGCGAGGCAGGCGGATATCTTGCACGCTTCACGCCTGCACTGCGGCTTCAGTACCGCACCCCCGCACTCCTTGTGGGGAGTGGGCAAATCGCCTTTGCATTCAACGGCCGCCGGCTGGGCGCAACGGTGGTGGCCGTGGTCCGCGCTGTGACCTGCGCCACCAAGTCCTTTGCCGCCCCGCGTCGCGACGGCATCGTGCTAACTTGCGGCGGCGCAGGTTCCTGCACGTTGGCTGGGTGATGGTGAAAGAGCGGATGTGCCGGCGACAGTTGTCGCCTGCCCGGGATGCCCATCCGCATCCGGGAGATTCTGGGAACCCTGGCACGACGATTCGTGTGGCGAAGCACCGCCCGCGCATTGTCCCGAGCAGTATGACCTAGTTCATCGGCCCGAGATACTCGGGGTTGCGGGCTGGGTCTATCTTATCTGTAGAAAGTAGGTAGGAAGCAGAGACTTCGTTGTAACCTTACGTGCTACATACGTAGAAAGTAGTAGGCTTCCAAACACTGGACCGAAGAAACATGCCTTGCTCAGCCCCACATCCGAACACCTTATCCGTTAACGTATGATGGGCTCTACCCATAGGCCCCATAGTAGTTCCTCTTGGGGGTTCATACTTAGAATCCTATCAGGTAATCCCCAAAAGGAATTACTGTGGGGCCTATGGGTATAGTATAGTTGCAGGTAAGTTGCTTGATTAGCGGGTTTTCTATATATTCCGAGATTGATTGATTAACGGGTTTTTGTTAAGGTATAGTAAGTTTCGAAGCCCTATGAACGCTGAACACCTGTGCCCTGCAACTCTAAATCGAACAGCGCGTGAACCCTAACAACCTGAGGCCATTGCAGCTCATTGACAGGAAACTTATAACTTATAACACCCTATAAAGCCGCATACAAGCCTATGAAGGCTTATGAAGTCGCAGAAAAAAGGCCCATGGCTGCAGGTGGTGGCCATTAAGTCTGAGCTGACCACGCTGGCGGAGACCCAGGCAAACATGACTGCGCTGCGCCAGGAGGACGTCCAGCTTCGGTTCCTCTTTCCATGTATGTATGCGAGTTTGTATAGTATAGTATATGTATATGTATATGTTACGGTGCTTGTAGGAGAGATTCCTTTTTCTGGGGCTTATATCGGGCTTGCATGGCTTCCGATGCTTTAGGCTTTGGGGTTCTTCGTCGAACGCAGGGCCGAGGTCACGCCCCGTGATTCTTGAGCTCCAGCTTGCTCCACTTTCAAAATAGCGAGACCGAGTGATTCGGTGTTAGGTGTTAGGCTAAACCCTAAACCCTAAGCCCTGAACCCTGAACCCTGATCCCTGAACCCGAAACCCTGAACCCTAAACCCTAAACCGTGAGTTGTGAGAGTGTAAACCCTAAACCGTGGGATGGTTTGGAGTCACGCTGTGGTGTTTCCGGAAAGTTAAGTTGCGGTGAGTGTGGAGCTCTTTGCGGCCGTTCCTGAGCTGCTGGGTGGTGTAAAGGTCGCTGCAGAAAGGATGGTTTTCTGGGCTTTTGTGGACATAGTGGTCGGAATACTTGGAGGATCATGGGACT